TTTAGTATATACACACGAAGTGATCTCAATAAAATCAGAGAGGAAACCATTCAAAAGTACGATTTGATTGACAGATCAGGTCAGCTAGACACGCGACAGTTTAAAAATAGATCTTTGTAGAATTTTCAAACATGGCAATTCACAAGCTTATCACTTCGCAAACAAGAGCGTAATGACTTAAATGGAACCGCTAAAAGTTTGAATTGTTTCCTTACCTGAGAGGAAAAGAAGAGCTTTGATGTTTTCTGTTGACTCGCCAAGTTTATAGCCGAAAAGGTTTGTTGTGTCGTTCTTCGCATGAAGTGCTGACAAAAATGGCGATTCGGTTTCTCGAGGTAAGACGTCGTCTTCACGTCGCATTCTTTCTCGTGTTTACTTGAAACGTAGAATTTCTGCAAACATTTGCTTTCAGATTTGTTTGTCATAGAGAAACTTCGTTTTTGGGCAAATTTTTCTTGTTAGGAAACGCTGAGTTCACGAAACGGCCTGTTCTAGGCGAATAAACGGGAGTTGTAAACAATCCATCGACCACAAAATTCAACAACAGTAAATGGAAAAACGCCGTTTTGAATCCTTCGAAGTCTTTTCTTGCCTGAAAAAAAGTCAACCCTAGGATTTTGTCGACTTTTAAAAGATCTTTCTCTAAGAAAATGGGAAAAAATCCGCGCTCAAACATTATCCACTCGCTAGGAGGTGAATATTGTTGAATAGCCCGAGATAGCGAACCAATCAGATTGCTTAAATCACCAAGATCACTGAGTGTGTATATACTAACATAAAATAGACGAGTCGACGTCGACATTAGACGACTGACTCATTTCATGAGTATCATGATTGGACAAGAATAAGATGGCAAAAGAAAGTTTTGGCAGATGTTAAAGTGAAGTCACACCACCTTTCTTACTGCAAACACCAGAGGGACAGGATGCAGATGTCTTCAAAATAGAGGAGATCGTGTTACAGAAAAGGCAATTCTTCGGCTCGTGATTTACAAGCTTTTCTTGTATTCTCACCATACCCCGCGTAGGTTATCACGCCTGTAAATCCATTGAAAGTGCGGTCTATTGCTTAAATTACATCCCCCAGATATAAACCCCTCCCCCCCCCACTAGCCGGCATTAAATTAAATTCGATTTACATGTATAGAGCGTTTTCACTCACGTGACCAGTATCTATGCAAATTTATTGGAACAAAAGAAGGTGTTTGCATAAGAAAAGAGATCAACTCCCACGGAACTGGTTTGGGACACCAACATGGCCGCCGTTTCATTGTTTTGGGAAACCCATATGGCCGCCGTGACGTCATGTGAAAACACTCTATTATGACGTTATAAAGCTCCACTTGTTATGAAGCTCGACTAAAAACCAGTAAATGCAAAATGTATTTTGATCAGCACTGCTATAGCTTGTTTCGAAGCGCTTTCTTTTATTCCGGTTGTAGGCCCACTGGGATATAAGCCCCTCCTAAAACCCCTTACGAAGATGTACACGCCAAGGGCTTAGAAGTGGTAGTTTTAAAACAAAATGTGGACTTGCTCCTAAAGGTTTCTGTATTCTACGCAGTGTAACACGGATTATGGTTAAAACGTATAATTGCAGCTGTAACAGGAACATGTATCTTTGGTGATGCAGCAACGTAATATAAATAAAGATTGCCGAGTTTCATTTGGAGATATTTTTATTGTGCCATTCTTGGGTCCAGCCTTGGGATATTTGACAGCAATGTGCAGCCCGGGGTAGGGAAATTTGGTTGCATTTGACTGGAATGATTTGCCTGCGGGCAGGGAATTTGATTGCAAATTTTTGAAAAATGTCAAATCCCCACCCCATGCCCAGCCTCCCCCCCCCGCCCCCACCCGCCGGCTTTAAACTGATAGGTGCATTACGGTATATGATAAAGCTGATTTTTAAACCTTGTCACGTAACAGTGAATTATTAACGCTATACCTTGCTGCCATCTCTGCCGCGTAGCTTCTGCTGTCATGGCGGAACTCGGCGGAGGAAATTCCTAAAAACACAAAAAGATTTCACCGCTACCATCATCATCAGCATTATTACACAGCGACATTCTCACTCAGTTTAAAAGTCCGATCGCTTTTCGAAATTTAAAAATTGTACTGTCGGAATTTAGAAGGCCTACCTTTAAATCAAAACATTATGAAAGGTTTAGATAGAGTATAGCGAGATGCTATGACACCTTACTCCATGTGAAAAGCAAGCAAATACTATCGAGGAGTTGAAAAAAAAAAAAATAGAAAAACGCGATTTTCCATGTGTACGTGTTTAATTATTTGTTACTTGTTTTGCCCTAGTGATCTGATGCTTACTACGTTTCGTAATTATTTGTTAGACTATATGTAACCTGTGTAACAAAAGAGAAATTTGTGCTTTGCGAAAAATCACAGAAAAAAGGGCGCCTGTGTAATTTGCAGACTTTCTTTAACACTAACAACGAAAATCAAGAGCAGAGTAGTGGTTACATTATTACTATTCGTTCAAACTTTGCATGCACCTAAGATGGAAAAATTTTTAAAGGAATGAATTCCTGATGAGTGCAAAAAAAAACCAAAACAACAACAAAACAATAGTCTAAAGAGTTAACCAGATTTAATTCGTTGTCTTGGAATTTTATGAAGTGAAAAGACTTTGTATAAAGGGTTGCTAAGCCTGTTTAAAGTTTTATTTAAGCGCAATTCATTTTTATACAAACAACATAGAACATCGTTCTTATTACAATCCAGATTACTTTTATGTTAGTTAGAATCCCAAATGAACGAACACATGAATTGCATGATTTGCCAAAAAGCCCTAGATGACAGTGCTTTTAAGTCCTAATAAAATATTTATAAGAAATCAATAGCTAAAAAATATAATATGACTAATAAAGAGCTGCCTTAAAAAGAAGTGATTTATCTCGCCTTAAAAACATTTAAAGATTCGTTGTGATCTTATGCTCTTAGGTTATGCGTTCTAAAGTCTGGGCAAGGCTCTACTAGGGTATTTGAGGGGTAGAAGCTTCCCCACCCAAAAAATATTGTTATCATTACAGAATATAAGTAACTATAGCGGAAAATCAGCCGGACGCGACGAGGTCAGTACACACACTGTACCATTTCTCAAAATTATGTCTCAAAATGCACCAAATTGCGTTCCAGCGCATATTCATTACAAACAATTTCCGGGGTCGTACCCCCGAACCCCCCTAGGAAGATCGTGGCCTTCGGCCACTCGGGACGTCTCCCCCAAACGATAAATCCTAGATAGAACCCTGCTGGGGTAAGCCACTTGAATAGATCTGTCGCTGTAAGATTTCAGATTACAAGGGGATCCTAGTTCAACAATATATTTCGGAACCATGCCATTTACTGCTTTATACGTAAGAAGTAGTATATTGCATGCAGTTGTTTCTTGATTGGTAGCCAGTGCAATTCACGAAGTATCAGTGTTATATGCCCCGAGCTTCGCCGTTCTGGACACCAGGCGAGCAGCACAGTTTTGTAGATACTGAAGACTATCAAGAACCGATTGTCGTACAGTTAAAAACCTGCGACTAAGAACCTGGCTTTTAAGAACCTGTTTAGCCTGAAATTAGAAACAGGTTCTTTTTTTCTACTGTCTAAAAAACAATTCTGTACAACTGGAAAAATACGATTTAGATAAGTCAATATTCAGGATCCTTTTTGGGGACATAGGTGCCTTATCACTCCAGAGACAGTTCCGTATTTTTGCCATATTCCGTAAGCGAAAGAAGGCTGTTCTCTAAGTTAATATGAGTATAAAATATAACAGACATATTTCTAGCATTACGCCGGCTACGCGAATACCCTCAAGTGTGCTTTGGTCCAATCATCAGGAGTTCTGTTTTTTCCTTATTCAGCTTTAAAACGACTGCAAGCATCCATGTAATTTAAACAAGATTCAGTTGCTCGAACTGAGGTTGCCTGATCTTGAAACTTGAAAGAGTAAAATAGCTGAGTGTCACCCACATATAAGTGACATGAAAGGCCTTGGTTTCCAACCGGTAAGGTGGCAAGTTACACTTGTATTATGCCCTTATGGTCATCATCTGCACATAAAAGAATGTGTCTGTACTTACAACACAGTTCGAGAGAGGTTTTTGTAAGGGTGCGGATGCACTTGCACAAACTTTCAACTATTTTCCAATTTGGTTTGCCACGGATTTCAAATGGGCGCTAGTACTGATGCGGTACCATCAAGGAGTAAGCCGAAATTAGTTACATGTGAGACAAGATCAGCATAAGTTTTCAGATTTCCTCGTTGGCTTCAAAATTGTAACACTTTGTTTATGTATTTTGCTGAACAAGTGTTTCTCAATACCGACGAAAATAAATTTCTCTATTTTTCAAAAACCTTAATAATTATTGCAATCCGTTTTAGTCTTCCTCTAGTCGTCCTCAATCCCTAGCAATCACTTCGGGGTGTGTTAGCTTACGTGAATGCAGTGCCAGAGCGCGAAAACTGCTTTGCCCTTGGCAGTCAGTTTAAATAACAATTACTTTGCAATTGCTGTACGTTTCTTCAAAGACCAAAGCAATGTGACCCTCTATGGTCACTGTAATTCCACCTAGCCAGCTTAATTCTTCATTCATCTGCGTTTTCCGTACAAATTCTCCTTTCACGGTGTATACAGATACGGTGAGGTGGCGAGTCTCTCGTTTATGACCAGCGAGGACAATATATTCACCAAGTGGGTGACATGCAATGCGATAATAGTGATCTCCGTCGATGCTCAATAAAAATTTGGCAATCTGTCGTCCCTCTGCAGTAAACAAGTGAACACAAGAGTCGTCTCGGTCCACTACCACGACTCCAGCGTCATTTAAAGCAGTGTTGTCCATTGCGCGCTTGAATCTTTCTTCGCCAAATGTACAAACAAACTCACCACCCTGCTCGTACACATCGATCACGTCATCTGCCAACACCAGCACTTTTCTATCGCTAACTGTAAGTCTGGCAGCCCAATGCCATTTCCTCACAGAAAACTTGTGCTGCAAGTCGCCGTTTGTATTAAAAATCTGCACTTCACTTTCCCATTCCTCAGCCCCAGGCTTCTTCAGTCCGACCAACAAGTAAATGTTGTCGTCTACGTCTTCATTTGCCACATCGTAAACTTGTAACTTTGTTTGGACGTCATCAGTTTGGGGAGTGAATCTCAACTGAAACTTTCCGTTTCTGTTAAACACCTTCACGGACTTGTCTCCATTGTCTGCTATAAGAAAATATCCCTTGGTATTTGTTGCGATACCACAGGCATTCGATAGCTTGTGCTCGACTTCACCCTCCTGACCAAATGACCACGGAACGCAGCAATGCTCCATGCTATGTTTCTTCAATATTTTAGAAACTCTTTCATTTCGGAGCGGATTAACTCTTTCTTCTCCAATATCAACAGAAGGCCAGTTTACTGACAGCTCACCCTTGAAGCCAAAACGGACCATTAGAGTGACATCGTAGACGGTGCGATTGATATGACATACATCGGAAATGAGTTTTCTACGCTCCTTTTTACCCCATCGAGCCCGGAGTCCTCTCTTAAGCTCCACAGTAAAGCAATCTTTAACACCTGACACACGGTGTAGGTCTTCAACGCACAATTTACAAGCCGGTAACGCATTTGCAGGATTGTCTACAGTTTCTAGTATTGTCGACATTATCCTATACCTCATAGCTAGCACACGTTCAGACAATTCCAACGCTTCGTTTACAAAGGCTTCAGTTCCTCTTTCACGAGCACGTTCGAATCTCTTTTTAGCATCGTTAAGCATGCTCGTAGTTGCTTCATTTAGACCAGTAAACCTCAGCTTCCTCATTGCTCTAGTGACTGAAAATATTTCAGAACTATCTGGTCCAATTGCAACTTGTGCTGCTTCTGGGTCGTACGCACTCGTCAACCTAGTGTTTTCAAAAACATCGCAAAGTAGCTCGATCCCTTCCTCGAAAAAGCTGATGCTTGCAAACAAGTCTTTCCTCGCTAAGCCATCCAACTTCGACTTGACATCTTCGATTTCACGGACAATGAAACCTCGGAATTTCTGATCTGTCACATCACCTCTTTGAAGCCTTTCTGCTGCTTTATCTCTTCCTTTACTCACGAGCAACCCGACGGTAACTTCAAACACTGCTGTTATGATCGAACTCATGCTTTAAGTTTCATTTGCGTATGAAACTGCCTCAGTTGTTGTGTTGCAAACTTACAGATTGAATTTCGGATTACAGGATTGAATCATGACAAGGAATTTGTGGGGATCAAAGCACGTGGGGAATGCGGACATTCTTAAGTAACTCAATAAAACACTCACAAGCATAAAATGTCTGCCAGCACGTATCCTTATCTACTGGGAAACGGATATTTTTTTGCTTCCGGATCGCTCTTCTGTCCACATCAGAGAAAACGGAAGTTTTTTATAAAACGCTCTCTCGACAGCTGGGGACACTGTTTTCCTGTATTCGATTGTGTGGACAAATTAAAACGGAACCTTTAAAAAACGATGACGTGACAGTATCTTATCCAGCACATAATAACAGTATTTCACTGACACTAAGCCATATTCTAAGGACTTCTTGGTGGTAAAAAATCTTAAGTCAATTCACAAATACGTTCTAAATGTTAAATGCCAAGCCCAAAGTGTTTCCTTTCTCGAGAACCAACAACGGAGACAAGCAACAACCCTTGCACGTTTGACCCAAACGCCCGTTTCATTCCTGACCCGACTGACTGTCCCTAGGCCTCCGAGGATGCACTAGACAAGCCTATTCCCGGTTGGGGGGAATTCCATATGACAGCGATGCTCGCTTAGAGGTAGAACGTGCAGATTTTGGACGGAAAGCCAATATGTTTTACCCACAAAGATATCGCTTTGATAAAAAAATGCCTTTATACTGAGTTGGAGAATGGTCTCAGTTTAGGGGTCAAATAAAGCCTAAACCACGCCCAGATTAGTCTCCTTTAGAGTGCCCCCACCCCCCTCCCACGGGGAGGGACTATTGTGCTTGGCAGGACTAGTAGGACAACTTTATCAACTAAGCAGTTGTTTTAAAGGAGCAGAAGGAGAATTTTAGAACGATTCAAGAAAAAAAAAAATGTCGTTTTGAAACGGATACATTGTCACTACCGCTGCGCACGTAATCCGCAGCTACATTGAAACCACGTGCTTTGAAATCTGATACTTTGTGAGTTTTGTCAATTTGGAAGCTTTGCTTATGGAACTCAAAACAGTCGGTAAGTTTTCCTCTTGTATTTCGGACGTTGACTTCGAACTTTTGAACACTGAATTCATAGTGGATTTATGTTTTGGTTTTAGAAAACCTAACTCGTGCGTAGGATTTACGGGATTGGATTTGAATTCGTTTGGAACTACTCTGACTTCATTGTAAATTGGATTTGACACAGCAGTTCAGGTTGTTGATTCATTTGGATCTGGATCTATTCGGAACGTGGAATCCTTTGTAGAATAAAGATAAGGTTTACGTTCGGAGTTCGAGAGTTCGACTTATTTTCGTAACAGTTTTCGACTTTGGACCGTAACATACATACATACATACCTCCTAATAAGGAGGCTTAAATTTTCAAGATTAATAATACACGCATTTAAAGTGTTGAGAGAGGAAATCACCCACCTTAAGAACTTTCCACATGGTAAAAAGCAAAGTATAAATTTCTTTGGGTTTCAGAAGACCAAATACAGCGCCAACTCGGCTCAGGGGAGGAGGCAGCCAACTCGCCTAAACAACGAAATTAACTTTATCCGTAAGAAATGCTGTTTTGCGGAGATTTCAGATATGGCAATTGCATTAACATTGTTTGCTTACCATTTGACAACAATATCCGCTTTGGGTGTCGAAAACATATTGGTCAGCGATTTAACAGTTTACCGCAGAATTGCCACATCCGTTACGGTTTGAATCCAAAAAAGGTGCGAATTTGTGTAGCGTGAGTCTGGAACCGAGAAATTGGTTAATGGTAAGCAACATTCCGTTTGGTTTGTACCAACCGGAATGAACGGATTACCTCAAAACGTACTCCTCAATTTTCGGTGGGAATTTCCGAAATTTTCTGTCAAATGGTAAGCATCCTATTTCTCCTGGGTATTACTGTCGTACCAAGAGAAATTGAAGACAATAGTTATGTATTTTTAAAAAAGAAAAGGGGGTTGGGGGGGAGGGGAAGGGGAGGCGTAAACGAGGTGTATCATGGGCAATGTGAAAATGTGAAAATGGTGAATTGGACTAAGAACGTGTGGAGTCAACAGTATCAGTATGGAGGTACGAGCCGACGTATTAGATGCCAAGCCATACATGTACGAACAAACATTCAGTAGAAACGCACCTTGGTCATAATGTCAGTGATAAAGCACGTGACTTTAAACCGAAGTGACGATTGGTCAATTGATGCCCCTCTGTACACTTCCCAACTGGACATAATAGTCGCGAGGAGACTGGATACTAGAGGACTGCACTTGGAAAGTGACGACACTCCTAAACAATTGAAAGCCAAATTAAAAAATACCACATAGCGTAAGTACTCGAATAAGCGCCGTCGTTGTTGTTGAAGCTCCCTATTGTATTCTTAAGGGGGCGGGGGAGGGCGTGCTAATTCGAGGAGTGACACTTATTTGAAGCTCAGTGCTTACATACTCGTGTACAACTCAAAGTAAACGAAATGAGTTCTATCAAGATTTTCCCCTGAGCTGCTTACTAACCTCTGGCAACAATGCTTATTAGAGACCACAGAATCGGGTTCTCGTCAAATGTTTTCTTTATCCTTAAATCACTGTAGAGAAAAAAAATTACGTTAAGAAACGAGTTACTCTGGGATACAGAAAGCATAGTTGAATAATACAGTTTGCCATGTGACAGATGCTTAACTTTAGGACAATACAAGTTGACTAGCCTGAGAAAACTTCTGACATTTCGGGGCACCACCAATGGTTTCCCTGCGAAATGACGCCTGAGGAACAAGCCAGGAGAAGTTCCATACTGATGATGTGTCACTACCCAGATCTGGCTAGTGTTTTCTATTGGCAGTGCCGCGAGAGAAATTTGCTTCAACCAATCAGAAGTACTATCCAGATCTGGCTAGTGACACGTCATCAGTATGGAGTTTCTGCGCTCGTTCCTCAGACGTCGTTTCGCGGGGAAACCAGTGGTGACGTCGTGAATAAGACTGCTTTTTGAGGCTACAAAAAACGGTTCTTGATCTTCCCTTACCGTTCTACAGTGAACTTGAGGCTTTCATCGTCAGGCCAATCAAATGTGATGGGCACAACATCCGGGCAAACGAGCTCCATTATCAACAGAGCTAAAGAGTCCACGTATTTATAATGAAGGGTTAAGTTGGCATGATCCAGATCATCATCTTGGTCATAGGTGCAGCACAGAGTGAAAACCACGTCCGTAAAGACTTGGCTCGTCTGAAGCCATGCTTGGAGCTATAATATAACGTGTTTCTCCTTTAAGCTACGGTCAAACGGGCAACAAAAACGTGCAACTTATTTTGCAACATTGCTGTACAACACGTTGAAAAGCGATGTTGCGCGTATTATCACCCACCTTCAAACCTGTCTTGTAACGAATCAGGTTGTTGCAAGTTGCGTTAATACTGACTTCTGATTATACACGGGAGTTACGTCACTTCCTGCAAATCAAGTTTGCCTTACGCCGGTAAAACGTACAACATGTACAGAGTTTGCTGCAAAAAGTAGAACTACTCGCTACTTTTTGCAACCACTTTTCGCATCTTGCAGCAACCCGATTTGTTTTAGGACGGGTTTGGTGTGGGTGGTAAAACGCACAACATCGCTGTTCAACTCACTTTGCACCAACGTCGCAAAACAAGTTGCACGTTTTCGTGGCCCGTTTTACCGTACCTTTAGAAGCAACACCATTATCACACAGGTTTTTACAAAACGGCCAATAATCCTTCTTTCCTCAAGGAAATATGTCAAGCAAAGTCACAATTTAATTGTACAAAACAAACAGTGTCTATAAATCTTGACAGAGAATTGTCCTCACTTATAATTTGCAACGTTTTCCTCTGACTTACTCGGCCAAAAAAACTTAAATTAAGAAGGAAGTCATAAACTTTACAAAATGTTCGCGTCAGACCTGTAGGGTATTTACATGTCAATGCCACACAGAACTTTCACCAAAATTTTTTCTATCACGTAAACCGGTAACCTATCACGCTTCTAGTGCGTTGTATACTCAGACTAGGCCATAGTTTGCGGCATGCATGAGAAGAGCATTATTTAAAAACACATTTTGAATTGTAACTGTAGGAATAAGCATTTTTTTTTAATAATCATATAATAAGAATCCAAGTCTTAACTTTCTATCGTTCAAACGTTTTTTTTTTTCATTTCAAGGATACTTTACCTCAGCTGTGTCGAGTCTGTTTGTTCGGTTGCTTTTTGCGATATCACCCACAATCCCGCTGAAGAACACAGATGACGGAGTAAGAGGAAGATGAGATGAAATGTGAGGATTTCTGTTCCGCTCTAATAAAGAGACTTTGATCTTTGTTAAGTCTGTATCAGAATCACTCGGTTCATCTACATTGAACAAAGAAAAGACAAATCCAGTTAGACAAATACTCGTTATCGGCACTAAACCTTGCCTTTTAGTTCTAGTTTGCCCCTTTAAAGGCGCTTTAATTAACTACAGTCGTGGACAAATGTCTTGAAGCAAATTTGTATTTGTGGGGCTCTCTTTAAATCATACATGCCCAACCCCTCCTCCACCCCACAAACTACAGGTTGGACGCGTGTATCCAGAATTTTTCCCGAGTTTCAGCTTTGTATAGGGTGGGGGGAGGGAGAAATTACAGAAAATCACGAAAACTGGATTGCTGTTCCAAGGACTTTTACACGCGACATCAACTTGTCGAGCTACAAAGCTAAGCCAAAAATCGTCTGTTAGAATCCGGCAATACTTAGCTTACTTCTGACCTGGTAAAATCCCTCCAAATAAGGGCACATGTTCCTGTGGAGAAACAGGACATTTGTGTTACAGCGTGGAAATTATTTGACAGAGGGATTTAAGACTAGGTAAACAACTTAATATAGATTAGGGAAAGTTCACACCGTAAGAACTTTACTACACTTCAAAGGGGCGTGAGAGACTGGATTTTTTATGCTTTCAC